AGGGCAAGAGCATGTTAACGATCATTGGAGCGAACTGGTTGGGGCTCTTGCTCTTGAACTGGAGGTTGTTGAGTAAGGTTAAGTAGATTAATGAGGGGATCACTAGGATTATTCCGAGCTAAAAGTTGAGCCAAAACCAACTGGAAAACACCAAACTGTTGTTGCATTACGGTGAGTTGAGCTAAGACTGCATGACCTTGGTTCGGGATGGGAGTTGAATTGTGAGGTTGGTTTTCATCACCTCTTTCTGCATGCTCAACAGGAGGGAATAGATTTGGGATATGAGGTGGGAGTTGATTTAGGTACTAAACTTGGCCTTGGGAAGGAGGTTGAGCTTGGCTTCCAGCTCGAACAGACCGAGTGTTAACCATGATGAAAGAGCAACAAGCGAGCTTTTAGTTCGGATTCCCACAGACGGTGCCAAATGTAATTGCACCAAACCAAAAGTCCTTCTTTAGTCTGTGTCTTCATTTCAGATAAACTTGCAAAGGCCCAAGGTGAATCCTCAGGGTAGACACTCTAATGCTCAAATCAGCAATAATCGGATCTAACTTTAGTATAATGGAAAAAGGAGTTTTAGTTTCAATTAGGGATGTCAACGGGGCGCCGCGGGGCCAGGGAGTCCCTCCCCGACGGGGATCCCCGCGGGGATTTTTGAAGGGGGGCAGATTTTGCCCCTCGTCCCCGTTCCCCGCGGAGCACCAATTAATATTAAATTATAATTTTTTTATCTTTTACATATAATTAATTAATATTCAATTATAATAAATAAAATTCTAAAAATTCAAATACAATTAACTGAAATTTTTAAATATAAATTGTCCAAATATAAATAAAAATCAATTCAACATAAATAACTAAACCAACAATTAACAAATTTGTTCCAAACATAAACAAAGATTAATCCAAGCTAAACTAAAACATAAGCAAAATTAAACCAACAATGGAGGGAAAGGTGAAAATGAAAATTGAGAAATGAATTAGGATTAAGGTTAAATGTAAGTAGGGAAATGAATTAGGTTAATTTTTATGGATTGAGTTGGGTTCGGTTCGGTTCGGTTAGGTAAAATTGGGTTAAGTTTAATTTTGATTGAATTGAGTTTGAACTTGAGTTTGAGTTTGAGTTTGTGTTTGGGTTTGGATTTGGATTTGAGTTTGAAAGATGAATTAAATTTAAAATAAAATTAATTTATATTTGTTTTAATTTTTGCAGGGATAGGGATTCCCGCGAGACCCCACGAGGCGGGGAAAATTCCCCACGAAATTTTGTAGGGGGAAAATGCTCCTCATCCCCGCCCCGTGGGGAGGAATATTCCTCTCCGCCCCGTCCCCGTGACGGGGATCCCCGCGGGGCTCCCTGGGATCGAGGGAAATTGCCATCCCTAGTTTCAATCACCTTTCTGAAATAGCCCCTGGGGGTATTTATAGGCCTTAATGAGGTGTTCACGTGGCTTGCTTAACAAGATAATTGGAGTTTAACATGTCCCTTCAAGCGATGATCTTGGGAACGGGAAATAAGATGCGGACACATTCACTATACCTGTCATACAGCTGTTTAACCGAGAAGTGCTGGATTTAACCTTCACTTCAGTTATTAACAAAACGTAGCAGTATGTCCGAGGTTAAAAACCTCAGGCTTATCCTTACAGTACTTCATCAAGATTTTTTTATTTTCACTCACTGTCCCTAAACTGTCAAATTGTTTTGTATCTTGGATATTATGGGGGTTAAATTCCCCAAACCTCAGCTGTATGTTTCTCTTTTTGATCTATTAATATATCCCCTATTTCTACCAAAAAAAAAATACACTAATGATATACTAAAAATTTTAGGCTAAATTCAATAAATAGTCTATTAACTATGTGATTTAATTCAGTTTAGTTTAGAAACAATTTTTTCTTTTAAAATGATCTATAAATTATTAATTTTGTTTCAAAATGATCTATTTAACAAACATTCTGTTAACTGACTAACGGAATTCTTTCTAGCTATTGACAAGCTGCCCTAAACTTTTGAAAAATATTAAATTTAGTATATATATTTTTGCTTTTTGCAATATTTTGTTTTTAAAGTTTAAATTTTATGTCAAAT